CATTGTACGGTATCCCAGTCCAACAGGATAAGTTCAGGGATGCTAATCTATAGGTCCCTGGATCGAATCCTAGTTGTTCCTAATCTTTGTGAAGATTATATTACCAAAAGTGAAACTAGAATTCCCTTATTATTCTTGAACTGAAATCGCTGGAGTCATGCAAACACCGAGTTTATATATGAGTGCTAGTCGTAAATCAAGACCACGTGTTGTACGGACGATTCACTTCATACAGGGGGAGATGTTTTTATTTTTATCAGTGGAGTTTCATCCTGGTGATATGAAAAACACTAGTGAAAAACACATTTCACGACTACTGCATATCACCGCGAATATCGCGTTTTACGCCACTTCACGTAAAACGGGTTGTGAAACTCCAATGAATTTAAAGACACTAATGACATATTATTTTTTTCGCGTAACTGTTGGGCTTGAGTTTCCAACAGTGTCGTCCTTTGAAATTCGATTTGTAGTCGGCGTCGTTATCTCCCCAGCTGTAGGTTAATTATTATCACAGCACGTGGATGTCTATGGTCTGCGATATCGGCCGAGATCCGTTTATGTTGGATAAAATCAGCTTTTGGCAAACTGGACAGTTTCTGGCGGCGATTTCTCGGTTGGGACTATTCGATGAGAAATTGTGAGTTTTTTTCGGAGAGTCATTTTTTATTTTATTGGGAATTTTCAGATACTCTAATGTGGCTGATGTCATCACGAAGGATATGAGTTTGTATAAGGATCCGGAAACGCTGGCATCAACTCTATGGGCGATGGCGAAAGTGGGTGATTTTTTCCGTTAGTGAAAAACGGGCGTTTTTAGTCTGGGTTCGTCCAAGGGAACTTCGTGGAAGCGTCGTTGGCGTCGGCGAATTCGTTGATTAATGCAACTAACAACAACATGAACGCTTGGAGCCAAATTTTGTGGAGTCTTATTCAGCAAGGTATTTCTCACTGGAGTTTCACCACCCTAGTGATATGGAAAACATATTTCACGACTGCTGCATATCACCGCGAATATGGTGTTTTTCGCCGAGTTTTACGACGCCACTTCACGTAAAACGGGGGAAACTCTAATGTTGGAGTAGGAATATATCTTTTCTTTCCTCAGCTGAGCTCAGAAGTTTCCAAAGCTGATTATACGAATCCGGGTAGAAATGTACAGAAACCAACAGGAAATTCCCAAAATTTCATTTTGTAGCAAACCATGTGCATATTCTTCTCCGACACTGCATGTCGTCAGGTTGCGACCCAAGCAGCGATACACGAATGGCGAATATTGTGGAATTTGTCGCGCAGTTGCCGGTTCCAGTTCATAGGGGACATTTTAGAAGACTTCATCAAGCGGCTGACGTTCTTGAGGAGGAGTCTCCCATGCGAAAGTATTGTATTGGATGATTGGAGTTTCACCATAGTGATATGAAAAACACTAGTGAAAAACATATTTCACGAATACTACATATCATCGCGAATATCGCGGTTTTTCACCGAGTTTCGCGCCACTAAACTCGTTTGGAACTCCATTATATAGTTCAAAAAACTCGTAATTTTGATGAGAATCTATTTGAAACTACATCGTTAACATTGCTATGAATATGTGATGTGGTAATGGTAACTCTTCGAGACTATGATAGCGACAAGTTATTCACTATCATTAATCCCGGAATAGAAAACGCACAATCTTCACATTTCTGTTGGAGGAAATTTCTGGAATTTTTAATTTTTTTTTCTGTACACATTTTTTGTATGTATGAGTTGATCTCGGGAGTTTCATCACTCATTATAGAATTTCACAGAATTCTTATATTCTCACCAACACATGTACGTATATTTTCTCACATTTTTTGTGTAGGTATTTAAGACATCCACTGAGCAGCGCCACCGCTCTTCCCCCTAGAGATAGTAGACGTGAGTTTTACGGTAATCGATTATGTGAATTTTCCCGTGGATTTTAGGTAATCAAATTACTAATCAAATTGCCAAGGTTTTGACAGAAAGCGACCTTCTACCGACTCGTGCGATTGGTGAGTGAAAATAAAATTTGAGGAAATTCTCATCGATCTTCGTGAATTTCTAATAATCAGCTGAGGAAAGCAAAGATATATTTTTACTGCAGATACTCGTGTGATGGTATCGCCGAGTTGCAGCTCGATATTGGATATCGCTATTAGTGCGGAGGGAAGTGGCTCGGCTGCTACTCCCGTCAGTGGTTTTATTATTGCGGCTGGTGACACTGACCATAGACAGATGCGTGAGTATTCGATTGTAGTTGGTGACATTGGAGTTTCACTCGTTTTACGCGAGGTGAAAAACGCGATATTCGCGGTGATATGCAGTAGTCGTGAAATATGCTTTTCACTAGGGTTTTTCATATCACTAGGGTGAGACTCCAATATTAAAATTCCAATTATTTTTATTTCTGTGCACATCTACCTGAGTTTTATAGGTAGTGAGGAAACTCCTTATTTTTAATATTCATTGTGGTTGGTGACACTGGACAAATGCGCGAGTGTTCGGTTGTAGTTTGTGATAATATGAAAATCCAAGGAAACTCTTTAAGGTTAGTGAGGAAATACCCCAGCTCAGCTAGAGAGCGAACATATGTGAATTCATTCAGGAGTGGTTTCCGCGAGCACCGAAGGTTCGAATAGTTATTATGGTGGCTTTGGTATGAAAGTTCAGCCCCATGCTGATCACGAATTCGAACATATACGTACCGGGCAGAATTTGATGTATCAGCGGATTTTGGCTAGACGAGGGTTGACGGTTTCGATCATCGGTGAAAATGAGTGGAAACGAGCGCACGAGAGGTAAGTACCCTTGAGTTGATCGAGGTTCGAGTTGGTGTTTTAGTGGTGAGGAGGAAGAGTTTTTGAGGAAGAAATTGGAGGAAGTTGGGATGGCATGCTGATTTTTGGTGGTGTGTATTTGTTTCTGATCAACAGTTTCTGAAAATGCCTGTTTGTTGTGTTCTAAAGTGGTACGAGTTGCTCGTGTGATGGTATTGGAATGGTATAGCAATGAAATGC